CAGCAGGGGGAAGTCTTGGGTCACTAAGCCCTCAATCTAGGATCTGATACTACCTCCACACACATAGCGTCAGAATTGAATTGAATTAGAGGAAACTCGGCTAGTGTTTCCTGAAGAATCTGCTGAAGAGTTACTTGGTATGTAGGGAAAACCCCCACATATCTGGTAACAGAAGTATTTTATGTTGTATTGAGTGTGAGAGCAGAAAAACACTGCTTTTTACCTTAACTCAGACCTTTATTTTCCACATGCTCTTGTTCTATTGTGCACATTTTGATGTTTTGCTTTCTTTTATCTTCCCTGTGTCAGATGGGATATTTTATCTTACATGTTATTTAAATTGCCACTTTCCTCCTCAGCTGTTTTATTTTGTGGAATAAGTATATATTTCTAGAATCCTAATTCTATTTCATTGGCCTATAAATCCATCTATGCCAAAACCATATTTTTTTGATTACTGTTGTTCTATAGGAATTTGTTTTTTAAATAGACTTGAACTAGAGATAATTCACCATAATTTTCTTCAAGGATTGGATTAATTAAAAATTGAATATGCTCCTGAGAAATGCCTTTTTTACAATTAATATATGAATGCCGGGCTTTAGGGACCCTTCAATGAAATCTTTGGATGTTTACCTTGGCTCCTCTGCCTGGGCAGGATCTGAACTCCAACTGCTGTCTCCCACATTCTATTAGATTGCCCCAAGTTCTGCTCAGCTCTTGAGTCATTAAAGTAGAATTTGAATTTGCTGCCAGGAAAAATACAACAAGTGGCAGGTTCACCTAACTGTTCTTTGCTTCTGTCAGAAAGTTTACTCCTTCAGATCTGGAAAAAAATGAATGTTTTCTAATAACCTTCAAACTATGTTTTTTCAGAATATTATATCAATTTCTTGTAGTTCTCTGTGGGAGATTCAGTCAGGTATGAGCTTCTACCAAAGCCAAAAGCAGAAGCCAAAACTACCTTCAATAGCTTTATAAAATCACACACTAGTTTAAGAACAATTAACAGATTTCAACCATTGAAATAAACTGAATATAATTTTAAGGTCTATCATTGAGGCAGTCTCACAAATGAAACAAATAAGGTTGAATTATACAAGGAAGTCTTCCTAAGGGATGCAAGACCTTAGTTGATCTTAAGAGAAAAGTAGAATTCTCAGTAGTCAGAGTCACTTGGAGCCAATTATTCAATAATAACTCTTTCATAAACAGCATGATTAAATAAAATGTCAAAGAAACAAAAGTAATTTTTGAAAGAAAAGTATACCTAGTGAAAAAAATTTTGATTTATATTGTAAATCCTGCAATTATTCTACCATTGCAATTTAATTAAATACTTTCTATCAATTATATCTTTTGAATTCTATTATTGAATTATCAGAATTCTGATGAAACTTACAAAAATATGATGCATCAATTGGAGAAGCAATAAAATTCAGTAACGCAGAGAAAGAAAAGTAATAGCACCAGCCTTTCTTTGTATAAGGAATGTTGAGTCAATTAATGCAAATAAAGCTTCCTAAGATGCTTTGATGGAAACATCTTTTAAGTATCAACCTATTATTTAATATGAAAAGAGAGCTTATTTGAATTAAATAAGCTCTCTTTTCATATTAAATAATAGGTTGATACCTAAAAGAAAGCTTATTTGAATTAAATAAGCTCTTATCTGGAGGTGGTTTATATTAGAATATAAACAGGAGGAATTCGTGATTTATAATACACTTTTTTTTTCCAGTAGGAACAATTGAAGTGGTCTTTAAATGAATTTTTGACAAACCACAGATCACTGTTCTTTGCTTTCTATGCCCTTGTCAGAACATTTGAATCACTACATTCCATTCAGTTTGACAAGTCCTTCAGTTAAACCCATATTATAAAGTAAAGCCTTGCTTTTCTCAAGCATTGCAGGAAGAAATTTTTCTGTTTCTTAAGGGTTGAAAAGTAGAAGCAATGAGAGCACAAAGGTGAAGAAAAAGCCACATTGGAATACTTCTGCATCTGTTAGGGTCACAGCAGCAGTGAGAATGGTTTTCGTAATTAATAATGTACTCTCAAACTTAATGGTGAGGTTATATGTTTTAAGTCTCAATTCAGAAAATAAATTCTACTCTCAGAATTAATATTTGGTTCTTTGCCACGTAAAAGTCACATTGGTATTATTAGCAAATTTGGGGGAAAATCTAGATTTTTATTAGAGTTTCAGAATGATCAAAGGTTGTTAAGTTTACAAACACCAGAGATAATCCAACCATAAATGAGGACAAGCAGCATCTCCATGAACCATCACTATTTTTATTCTTCTGAAAGCAGTCCCAGATTATCTCTCATATTGGTTCATATTCTAAATCCTGCAATTATTCTACCATTGCAATGCCAACATTCTCACTATCTGTCTTGAATTCTAATCAATCGCAAGAAGACTGGCTGCCAAGAAAGATTTTCTCAAACCTGGAACAAAATAATACACTCTCTCGGGCTAAGAAAATCATAACATCTATATTTTCTAAATTACTTGTAGACTTCCTTGCATGTGTACAAATACATACCAGTGAGAGAATGTATGTGCTAATAATAATAAGAATTCAGACAAGCATATTTCACCAAATCCAAGAGTCAGGCAAATGATCCTGATTTCTCAGAGTATCCATTGTCAAATAATGAAATCAATTTTGGTATGTTTTGGCTCAGTTTTAAAATTAATATACAAGTTTAGAAAGCACATACTTAAAACAAAATATGAGAATCTTCAGTATGATAGGTTACCAGGATGGGTTGAAATCTATATCTAAACCCCTTACAATGGGACTTTGCATGGCACTCCTTCATGAGAAGGGAAGTTCATCATACCCAACTTTATGACTTGCTTTGGCTAATGGAAAGTGCCAGTCATCACTTGAACCAAGGTTGAAATGGGCTTGTGTACTGGGGCTTTCCCTGTTGTACCTCTGTCATCACCATTGCAGCACGCTAGAGCTAGTCTTCTGGTGAGAGAAAGATGTTATGGCAGTGTGCTCCAATTGATTTGTATAGGCTTGCATGACCTCATTGTTAAGTATTCACAAATTTCATGAGCCAGCTGTTAAACCACTGATAGCATGAAACCAGGGAAATGACCAAATGCTACAAATCAGAACATCCACTCTTTTGTTGTTATTTTTCATTGAAAAGCACTTTACCAACACATCACTGCAAGTGGAGCAGAGCCAGTCACAGCACTTGCCTCACAAACCATCCAGCCAATATCCAAGCTTATGAACAGACCCAGCCGAGATCAGCCAATCTGCCTAGCCAATTCTTTCCTAACCCCAGACACTTGAGCAGTACATTTATTATATGTTACTGAGGTCTTGTGGTTGGTTTTTATACAGCATTATAACAGCATTATGTAAATGACATAACAAAAAAAAAACAATTTAAAAAATAGATACACTGTAATCGTTGTGAAACAAGACGAGGTTTACTAAGACTAGAATCACACGTAAGCAAATATGAGTACACGATACCCGAATGATTACTTTATTGCCTATTAAATGTAGAAGGTGATTGATATGTATTAGGATCTTACAATGTTCCAAGAATTATATATTTTACTCTCAGAGCATATACACTAATATTACTTACCATGCCAAACTGAGGCAGATTGTATTTTCCAAGGTGTCTGCACCAAGCTTTCTTTATCCTGTGCACTTGTCTAATAATGTGGCAATGACCCTTTTCTATTAAGAAGTCCTTTTCTCAAAGCTGTGTTCTGGAGAGATTAAAAAAAATGAAGAAAGAACAATGAAGAACTTTCCTTCCTCTTGAATCTAGGAAGTCCTATGACTATGGCAGAAATGATGTTATGTGGCTTCCAAGGCTAGATTTTTAAAGGCAATATAGCTTCCACCTGTTTCTCTCAGAGCTTCATTCATGGAAACCAGCTGTTCCCTTGGAGCCAGGCCACATGCACAAGCCACACGTAGATGTTCCAGTCAAATTTTCAGCCAGGATTCATATCAGCAGTGAGAGTAAGGAAGCCTTTGAAATGACACCAGTCTGGGCTGCCTTAAAACCAATGTCCAAAAATGAAGAAATAGTATACAATTTTCTTGTATTTTCAAATGTCAAATATTTTTACCATAGAGAAATTAAGTTATGGCAAAGAGAAAAATTTGAAGAAAAAATTTCACATTAGGCAACTTGAAACCTGTGAAGCTAGATCATCAGTCTTGGTTCCACTGTTCTCCTTGTCATAGAAATGGAAAGGGGAAGAGGAGATAGTCTGATCTTCCTGCATCCCAGGGCCTCCTAAATGATATGCTGGGCCACAATCCTGTAAGGACAGCTCAATTATTAAAAGTCTCCACATCTCCATAGTCCAATTCTCATTTCTCCTCTTCTTTTTTATTGCACATAAAGGGTTTATTTTAAATGTTTTAAGGATAAGATAGGGTTACACCATAATTATAAAAATTACTTACAGAATTAACAGATTTATATTGTGTGTACTTTTAAATGCAGAGAACAGGGAACTGTCTACACATTGTATAAAATAAAATTAAAATTAAAAATGAATTCAAGCTTTAAAAATGAATTTCCTTTAAATGTTCCCTAACATCCTCTCCTTTCCTGTTTAGAGTTTTTTAGTTTTCTCATGAACTTAGAACTTTTTGCTATCCGATTTAATGTTCATCACAATGAAATGAAACAGGCATTGTTTCCTCTAATTTACAAATGGTTTAACAGAGACTTGGAGAAGGCTAGTGACTTCCCTAACATCACTCAGCTGATGAGTAGCGGAGGTTGTTCTTTTTTTTTTTTTTTTAATTTTTTATTGGATTATAGGTTTTGGAGTACATGAGCAGAGCATGCAAGACAGTTGCGTAGGTACACACATGGCAGTGTGCTTTCTTTTCTTCTCCCCTTCACCCACATTTGGCTTTTCTCCCCAGGCTATCCCTCCCCACCTCCCCCTCCCACTGGCCCTCCCCTTTTCCCCCCAATAGACCCCAGTGTTTAGTACTCCCCTTTCTGTGTCCATGTGTTCTCATTTTTCATCACCCACCTATGAGTGAGAATATGCGGTGTTTCATTTTCTGTTCTTGTGTCAGTTTGCTGAGGATTACGTTCTCCAGATTCATCCATGTCCGTTTGCGGAGGTTGTTCTTTAACATTCTTCTGATTTTCTCAAAAGCAGAGATTCAGTCAACTCTACCATTCTTCTCCTTGGCTCTCATTATTTCATAAAAGAATTAGGTACAATGCCCTTTAAAATGATCCAGTGAACATCAGCTTTGATGCACTCAGCCTTTCAGAATATCCGTGTTAGATTATATTTGTGTAAATGTTTTAGAGCATATCAAAAGTCCATCATTAGTTTCTCTTAACAAGCCACAAAGAATATAAATTCCTTAAACTGATTTTAAGAGACTCCCTTCTTTAGTCCATGTTTTCCTTTCCATTTTCTCTCAGCAATTGCTTATCCTGTCTGATCCATCCAAGTTGACTTTCCCTTGCATCCTTAACGTAATTTGTGTATTCCTGTCTCTGTGTTTTTATGCATTATATCATTGTCCATTTTATATATGTACTATATACTATGATACATTTTATTATAGTAGTTATATTATAACTGCTATATGTTACATACACATATGATGAGAGAGAAAAAGAGATGGAGTCACAAGTCTATAATATTTAACACCAAAGAATCATGCATTTTATTTACTGTAAATCATACTTCAATTAATACAATTAAAAACAAAACAATATGATTTATACTTTCTTGTGCCAAGATTGACTTTCCAAAATTATAGTTATAGAAGTTGAATATATATTTATAGTGTATTCCTTGGATATTTTCTCCTAAAATATAATAAAAATACAGCCAACATATGAAGTTCTACACCCTTTAGAATGCACTACTTTCTCCAATCCATGTGTAATAAAATTCAGATTTCACTAAAATGAAGGCTCAATTGAGTGAATCCCAATAAATGAGGGTTTTTTTGCAAGGGAAAGGAAGGCTGTGGAGCCCTTTACCAATATGCAACACTGCCTTCTGAGCAACCTAACCTTTCCATGCCTCCTTTTCTAATTATCGAAGAAGAAGATTCTAAAAAACAGTTCTAAAGTCTTTTGAAGTCTTGGAATAGAGTCAGTAGAAAAGTGAAAATTGTATCTGGTGGTAACTACATTGGAAATAATGTGGTGTTTAAATGAGATATAATAGCAAATTGTTCTAATAATAATGTCCTGACATGTGGAGTCTAAGTGCCAGATACATTGATATTCTTTCCTTATCTCACTTTATGCTACATTATTTGCTTTGTGAAATGATTTTATTATTCCTCATACATTAAGTTCAAACCAGCAACCATATTTCAAGTCTTATTGTTCTGAAGCAGCTATCTTTAGTGCAGTTCGGATGGTATGAAGACACCAGACTGAAGTTATACTGACTCCAGTTATGCTGAATTTCCTGAGATAGCCGATCTTATTGCTGTTCAAAAATAAAATCTGGATATAAAATATGAATTCTGATTATTTTCCCCTGCAGTCACTGAGTATATGGTTAACGGTGTGACATTATTGACAGCTGTTCAGAATACTTCACCACTCTCTATTACAAACCCACAGACACCAACACTTTCTTGAATATGCTAAATAAATTAAGAATAAAATTATAGGTTTGTTTAGTATATAGGTGATGCTAGCACTTAAAATGTCTTGCTTTTAGATTTCTGTTTTTTATAGAAGAATGATATGCGACTGAGCAAAGGTAATTCCTTGTTCTGTGATCTATGTCTGATAATGGTGTCAAATAAAAACAAACCTAGACTTAGGTTAAGGAGAAACTTTATTCAAAAAGGCTATCACAATGCTCCAAGCTTAGGATTTGCAAGCTCTCAAAATCAAACACAAAAAGGCTTTTCTTTATAAGAAGGGTCAAGCAGGGCTAGCAGGAGCCTTTGAGGAGAAACTGGCCACCGAGTGGAGGCGAACAGATAGCATGTTCAGGGTGGTGGTCTCATAGAAAGTATTTTTAGCTATGTTCAACTGATTCTTAAAATAAGCTATTAATAGGGGATCCTTTATGTTTTAGTGCTTGCTCAGACTTGGGGCCAGCCAAAGTTTAGGGACCTGCGGAGAGAAGAGAAGCCTGACTGAAGTTTGATCAGGTTAAGTCAGTGAGCAACTAATGGGCAATTGTAAGCACTTTGTCAATAGGTTGCTAGCAATCCTATTTTAAAATATAAATGAAACTAACTCAACAAATGTATTTGAATGTCTACCATGGTCAGGACACCGTGTACTGTGGAGATAACAAATTTGGAGATGATCTTATCTGCTGTGACTCTCTCCTTAGAATTTACCATAATGAACTCTGTGTACTATTTTACCTTGACTATGTTTTCTGCCTCTTAGAACACTTTAGAGGTTGAGCAATGACAAGTCAGTAGAAACAAAGTGATCTTAAGATTTGTGAGCTCACAAAAATGCCTTGGGTATTGGTAAGTATATTGTGCCAGTGAGTCTATTTTTGGAGGGCCAATTTATAAATAAGTTAATTTATGGCAATAAGTTATCATGATATGGTGTGGGTGTGCAGGTTTCATGTATTCCAACGGTACTGAAAGAGGCAAAAAGGAAAGAGACAATGTTTCTGGTTAAGGGCAGGTGGTATATGGCTGGGTTGAGTGACTTTTGTTCAGAACATAAGTTGAGGTCTCTATAAGTGGAGCTAATCACACAACTCATATAAGTATTACCAAAGAATTAACAGGAAAGAACATCGGTCAAGAAGCTAAATATTCATTTTCTTTCTAGAACTGCAACAATGTACATGTTATGCAAGTCACTAAACTCTTTGAATCTCATCTGTTTAATGAAGGTATTTGAAAATCTTTCAGGTTGTTTTCCCGCCAAATGCAACAAAGTAAACTGTACTTGCCTTTGTAAAGATAAAAGTTAAAGAATCCTTTATTTGATTAGAGGCAACATAACATGTAAATGTTATATTACATGTTAATAGTAAATAGTATATTAAATAATTAAATAGTATATTAAACTAATTATCAAATAAATAGTAAATAGTATATTAAATAATTAAATAGTATATTAAACTAATTATCAAATAAATGCTACCGATATTTCTGTGGTGAACAAGTCAAAGAAGAGGGAAAATATTTCAAAAACACAAGACAAAATGTAAAAATCTATTTTAATTTTTAATTGTGTTAGTTTCTTTTTAAAAAATCCTTTGAAACACATTAGATAACTTTATTTATTCAAGTTTTAGAAGCTCACATAGCAGAGAAAAACCATAAGATATGATTTCTCTGTTTTGAGGATATTTAAATAAATCACTAGTGAAAGTATTTTCTCAAGCCCATACATATGTTTACTTATAAGAATTAAGTCTAAAATACATGATCTTGCAAATATATAGATATAATTTTAATTAATTTTTATTATATTTATATTTACTGGCAGTATGATAAATTTTTAACTGTGCAATATGGCTTCTGTATAATTATAATAACTTTCACGACCTAAGAAAATGAAAAATGAAATTTGATAGTATTTTGATGTTATTAACCTAGAGAAAAATGGTTGCTAATAATTTTTGTTTTGCCTCGTATTGCGCTAAACTTCCTAGCATTTTTAATATAATCTGTTAAATATCTCAGAGAGTAAATAAATTTGCAAAATACATAAATAAATACATTGTAAATGCAACTCCCACAGATGTTCTAAATTCTAATACACAGCAGTCCTTCTAAAGTGGCCTTAAAATATGACATATCCAAAAAATAGGGTGTTTTTATTACAGCCAAAATAAGAATGAGACTATGAGTAGCTACAGAAGGTGGATGAATATTATTCTGTGTTTTAAAGTGAAAGTCTGACAGGTAGGGAGCAGCATTTTGGTGCAGGAGAAGATAGGCTTTACGTGATTTGCTATGAACTGGCAAACAGGATTAATCTCTACCCATCTATCAGGAAGACTGATGACTTCCTTTCGCGGGTTAATTCGGGGTTCTTTTTCAAATATCAGACGTCTTTGTGATGTGCATTTTATTGCTCAACAACTTTCCAAGGTTAGTGTATTTATGGTGAAGAGTAATTTGCCAATTCAACCACTGTTGCTTGGGATGACATTCATCCCGATTTCCAGCTATGAGTTGATATTTATTGTTATATGTGATGAATTGTCTGTCACTGCTGAGTGAAACCCAGAAAGCTGACTGTGGTGACCGAAAAGACATCAAAGCTGAGCATGAATTGTTCCTGGAAGGTAAAATATAAATAAGTTTATGTTCATATCTGTAAGCCATCTAATTCTCATACTTACCAGTTTATGTTGCAGAATTTCCAAGATCTTTGTTCTGTTTCTTGCTACAATTGGAGAAAACAGAGCCAATAATTTATATTAAAATTCAGTATGTTTCAGTTATGCTTTGTAAAATACACTTTGTCTAGAGGAGGAGCGAAAGCTAAACACAGAGCTTAACATTTATTGAGAGCTTCTTGTACACTGAGTGCTGTGTCAAATATATTATTTAATTTAAATAATAAAACTGTGATATTGCTGTGAATGTTTTATGAGTAGCTCTAGGACACAGGGTGAGTTGTTTTTGGAGGAAGTATAATAAATACACCCATGTCTCAAACACAGGATATTTCCACAGCTAAATTGCAAAACTGTTCTGATTTAAGTATAGACAGTACTACTGGCCAATCCAGAAATCTGAAAGAACTTATAGAGATGGTTCTGAATTCAACAATTATTTTTTAAAATGCTGCTGAGTGTCCAGCACCATCAAAGTAGGATTGGGTATTAAGGAATGATTTAAGAACATATGAAGGTGAGAATTCATGACACAATGGACTAGAGTAGTTCAAAAACATAAATTAACAGCAGTAGAAAGCGGAAAGAGGGAATCATGTTTGTAAGGTAAGGAAAGAGAAGTTTGGAAAGGTTTTTGGTAAATATATGTGTTCTTTATAGAGCCTATTAACTTTATTTCTTCTTTTCTATCAATCTTTCATTTTCAATAAAATATTTCTGGAAAGCCATCACGTAATTATACCTCTTTCTGGAGCTGTATTTAAAGAAGTGTAGAGCATAGATAGGTCTTCCTTTAATGAAAATGTAGTGATTAATAAATTTTTGTGGTCAATTTTATTCACTACACTGATAAATATTTGAGCTTTTACTGTTTAATCCCAGAGAAATCCTCATTTGCGGCAGAGTATTTCTGTTACAATCTAGAAGTACAAAACTTTATTTTTGACAGAGAATGAACAAAAAAAGCATAAATAACACAATTAAAAAGTCAACTACTAAATTGTTTGGAGATGATTTAAAATGCAACAGGCTTCACAGAGAAAGTACAAGTTAAATTGGACCACTTTTTAAGGTAAATTTATCATTTCTATTTTGTGTCATGCATAGTATATACTTGTGAAAAAAATTGTCAGTAAACAATCAGAGAGAAAATAAAGATTACCCAAACTTATCAAAGTTAATTATTATTTTACTAAACATTCTTCAAGGAATTTCTCTCTCTCTTTTTATTATTTTTATTTATTTATTTATTTATTTTTGAGACGGAGTTTCACTCTTGTTACCCAGGCTGGAGTGCAATGGCGCGATCTCGGCTCACTGCAACCTCCGCCCCTGGGTTCAGGCAATTCTCTTCCTCAGCCTCCCAAGTAGCTGGGATTACAGGCACGCACCACCATGCCCAGCTAATTTTTTGTATCTTTAGTAGAGACAGAGTTTCACCATGTATTGACCAGGATGGTCTCGATCTCTTGACCTCGTGATCCACCCGCCTCGGCCTCCCAAAGTGCTGGGATTACAGGCGTGAGCCACCGCGCCCGGCCCAGATTTCTCTCTCTTTTGAGTGTGTATGTGTGTGTGTATGCATACAGGCACATAAAATTATATACGAATATATTATCAGTTCCTTTTTTGATGTGCCTTATCTATTCTAAAGCAGGTCTTGGAAATGTATCTGTTAATGTTAATAAATAGAGAAGAAAATTCTTTAGTTTCTGATTACCATTGAAGATATGAGTATAAAAAACTCTAATTGTAAATGAAAGATGCATTATAAACAGCACCAATCTTAGCATCTGTGCTAACATATACACTTGTTCTATTATTTTCTGATTATAAATACTTGAAGTGGGATTTTTATGGATCAAATACTGTGCACAATTTCAAATGTATGCACTTTTCAAAGAGTGTTTATTGAGCAATTACAATGTGCCAAATATCCTACACTGAAGAAGCAGCAATAAATAGTGTAGTCAAACTCTCTGCTCTTGTGGCATTTACATTTTCTTCAAGGTGTGACAATAAATAGATCATAAGTCAAGGGAGCAAACGTACTATGAAGAGAAATAAAGCAGGCTGTGGAGATAGTGTGACAAGGGTGGGCATTATTTTAGGTCAGCTTTGAGCAATGGCCTGAAGTGAAGAATGAACCCTCTGGTGCCTGGGGAAGTTCAGAACTAGTAGAAGAACCTGGAAGTATAAGGGTTGTGCCTCAGATCATCTTGGCTCATCATAGCGAAGTTGTGGTGCTCGACTGGGCAAAGTGGAGGTAAAGGCAGAGGCAATCTGAGATCAGATTACTCAGAGACTGACAGGTCACTTTCACTATCTGGTCTCCACAGATGGCCCCTGGGGCCCAGCCTGCTGGGAGAGACGTGGACTCCCAACCTTGTAAACTGAATCTGGGCTGGGCCTGGGACACATTTCACTAGATATGAGTGAGCGGAAGTGACACTGGACCCATTAGTTCCGGGCCAACATCTCTAGTAGGCCTGAAAGTTTCTGTTAGTGGGTTTGGGAGCCCTGAGTCTCCAGATAAGGAGTGCAGTGATAAGATCACAGCTCACTGCAGCCTCTACATACCAGGATCAAGTGATGCCCCACCTCAGCCTCCTGATTAGCTGAGACTACAGGTGTGCACCACCATGCCCCACTAGTAACTTCTGGTTTTAATAAAATCAAATTGTCATCCAATGCATTTATACTCACCAACAATGTAAATTATCATTGAGATTTACTAAAGAGAATTGCCCTTGACTGACAGGAAACTTCTGGCTGAGGAGCTAAAACTAATAACTCCCCACACTCCAATCCCACCCTCCAGAAGCCTATAGCAAAAAACTGCCTGGTGGAGGTAAGTGGGTACAGAATCCCATTCCTTTGCCTGATGAGAGAACAACCTTCTGCTCTAGAGGCACTTGCCTCCCTACAGTGGGTCAAGCAGGACCAACTAGCCTTTGCCTGAGACCACATCCTGTTCTGCTCCTTCATCCTTTTCTTCATCCTTCTTTCCTCCCTCCCTTACAGGTTTTACTCCTGCACCTTAATCCCTATCTCTGACTGCTTCCAGGAAATCCAACCTCAGAAAAGATCTACTAGTGCAGGGGTCTGCAAATGACAGGCTAACGAATAAACCACATTGGTTGCCTCTTGTAGTAAATGAAGTTTTACTAGAACACAGCCATGCCAACTGACTTACGTATTACTTATGATTGCTCTCATGCTACAATGGCAGATTTCATGAGTTTTTAACAAGAACCGGCAGTCTGCAAAGCTGGAAACATTTACTCTTTGACTCTTGACAATAAAAGTTTGCTAATCCCCACTATAGAACAATCTTTTGGGAGTTTTACTGATTATTATGTTTCATCTATGTATTGAGAAATAATCATCTGTGCTTATTAAGGAAGTTCTTAGAGATAATTCTATCCCTCAGCAATTTGCAGTCTAAAATAAGACAAATACACATGAAGATAACCACTAAGTTCAACCAGAGTAGGAGCTGCCTCTTTGCAACAGTCTGTCCCAGGGTTAACCATCACTTGGTATGTATTAATCACACACTCATAGAACTAAATATGAAGAAGCATATTAAGTAAAGATATTGTTTATATTAGATGAAACATTAATGAATTTGAGAAATTTTCACGAAGAAGACAGTTTTGATCTTGACTCTGAAGAGAAGGGAAGGTTTTAAATGGGGAAAGATAAGAACGGCAGGTGAGAGAAAAAAATGAACTAAAACATGAAAGCAAGAATGAGCATAGAGGCTTTGGACATCACGCACAGATAGTGTTTCTGTTCTTTTTCTTGTTTCTTCTCTTTTATTCCTCTTTGTGTTCTCCACTTCTTCTTCTTTTTTTTTCTACAGGTTTGCAAACTAAAGTTATAAAGAAATGGGTGGAGAAGACGTTGCATTCAGTTTATAGAAGATTCCAAAGTAGACATTAAGGAGGAGATTAAATGATTATTTACAAGAAACTAGTAAATCTACTAAACAAATGGACTCCCATAGGTTAGCATATTCATGAAAAAACTTATTGATGTAATCAGGCAATGACTATCCTTGAACTTTCTCTTCTGATTACATATAACATGAAAAACCCATACTGTTATTAGAGTGAACACCAAATGAATAGTGATCGATTACACTAGCAATCACTTTTTTGTATTTTCACATGCCTTGAAATATAAATGTCATTTACTAATTTTCTTTCTTCTTAAGAAGTGTATATATAAGAATTTTTAAACTCTTTATTTTTAAAATCTAAAGCTCATTATACACTTAATTGAGTACTTACGTCCTTAACATTATGTATCTACTTTTCAGCCAGCCTACCTCACTATTCTCCTCCTCATAATATGGTCATGTAATTACCCAAAAGCTTTTATCTTATAAATGTAATGCTTATTCCTATGGTCAATTTCACCATTAAAATGAAAGATAGAATTTCAATGTAAGGAATTTTAAAAGTAAGCGTCCTCAGTAAAAAAGAGGAAGGAAAGTGTCAAGGATAGATACTGCTAAAAGAGAATTCCCCCATCTTCAGTTTCTCCAGTTCTCCTATTCCCATTGATGCACAGTCATTGCAATATTGTTTAACTGTCTCTCCTGTTGGGATATAGACTTTATTCTTTTGAAAAGTCAGAGATGATATACTAGTCAATAAAGTATAACATTTATGTGGCTGTTTATGGAGAGTGAATATAGAAAAGACTAGAAAATGTAAGACTACAAAGATTAGCTAAGTGAGAAGTTGGCCAGTTGGTGGAAAAGATGCACAAAGAGTGGAAAAACCTATTGCTGAAACCCAATAGTTTGTGATTACTGATGTCTCCATTTATAATTAAGACTAGGTTAACTGAGAAGTTAGGTTGAGATCATAACCCCCAAATTTGTAGACTAAACGTTTTCTTTATTGTCATAAAAAGGACTTCCACTGTTGGACACAAAACAGTGTGGGGAAGAGTGTTGATCTGCTGTCACATGAACGATATAAAGCACTGATAAATTCTTAGGGAATATTTTAATTCAAATATAAAACATTCAAAAGGAAAAGCTTTGGAGTGTTTTCCATAGAAAGGAGGACTTACAAATACATAGCTGTGAGTTTTGGTAGATCTGAGCTGTCTACTCAAGGTACAATGAGGCTGTTTCCAAAGCTGTACTGGAAGCAAGACTGGTTTGAAAACTGTGTTTACTCTCTTACTCCAATTATCTGAGAAGATGGTAGCAATTGTCTAGACAGGGTCTCAAAGATTAATATCCCTCTCTAAATTTCAAAATTCTTTTCTATAGGAATTTTTAGATAATTCGACCTAAGTTTTATTTCCATAACCACAGTAACTAATTCAGAACTTTGCACACAATAAAAGCTAAGCATATTTTAAAAAATCAATAAATAATATATTTACTTCCAAGTAAATTTTTAAGGATATTTTCAGGGGAAAAATAGCAAAAAATATTTCTCAAAAAAACAACAAAAAGTCTTATGCCAAAATGAACTTGACTCTGTCATGCTCTAAATTTGCTCAGTCTATTTCAGGGGAAGTCTGATGGCCCATATGTTTCTCAAAACCCAACTGCAGATGATTTAGATTTCTTGGCTAACTTAGACAAAAGGAATGTAATGTTTTGGACATCTTGGAGTAGTTTATGCTTTTTCCCTCTAGTGGTCATAATTCTTATAGATCACTTATTTCTAATGTTATAAGCCAGCGGCAAAATTGAAATAGCAAAAAGTGACTTGTGAAAGTCAGGCCTGTTTCACAGGGGCCCTGGGTTAATGTGAACCATTAAGGACGAGCATGCTGATATATTCACTTGCATTTTTTTTCTGTATTTTATGCTTTCTTTTTTTTTAGTCTGACTTTTCAATTTGTCTTAAAATTCTATAGTACATGTTAAAAGATGAGGTGATAATTTGATAAGTATCCCTTAATAATGTTAGGTATTAAGTAATGTGATATTTCTCTTAATATGTATGTATTTTATAATTTTCTATGTACATATGAATTTTTATGTGTACATGTACATATACACATACACATAAACACACACACACACACACACACACACACACACACACACACACAGAGGATTCCTTATTTTGTACCATTAACTTTTCTATCAATGCTTACCAAAGTACCATCTTGGGTTTTTTTGGTTTTGGGTTTTGTTATTTTTCAAACAAAGTCTCACTCTGTTACCTAGGCTGGAGTACAGTATATTGGAGTGATTACGGCTCACTGAAGCCTTAGCCTCTGGCTCAAGTGATCCTCCCACCTCAGCCTCCCAAGTAGCTGGGACTATAGATGTACACCACTATGCCCAGCTAATTTTTTAATTTTTAGTAGAGATGAGGTCTCACTATATTGCCCAGGCTGGTCTCGAACTTCAGGGCTCAAGCAATCCTCCTGTCTCAGGCACAAAAAATTCTGGGATTGCAGGAGTGAGCCACTGCACCAAGCCTGCACATTGTTATTTTTACTATCATAGAAATATACACTATTTGAATATTTGGTAAAAAGAAAACCAACCTTTATTAATTTTAATAAAATATTAACTGCTCCTTCCTTCACACAAATGCATGTTCATTATTTTATTTAAAAAGAAATACTAACAAGATTTACAAAGTAAATCACACTAAATTAGACATACGTGGTTTGTTCTCATCAAACCTTTCATGCAGTATACTGTATATTCCTGGCTAAGTCATCTGTCCAGTCTCATTGCTGTTTCTTTTGAGGTGCACGAGGCCAGAACTTGAAGAAGTCTTGCGAGTATTATTTTATTCTCCTATTTTGAATCCTTAATCAGAGTTAGAACTTATCAGGTCTACTTTGTCTTTTTTACCTTGTCCATTCATGAGTAACTTTCAGCTCCATAGAGTTGAGGCCCTTCAAAGTAAGTTGTATCTATGCAGTCCCATACCCATAAGGGCTGGAATTAGATCTTTCTTGCTCATACAGTATCCTCAGCTCATGAGACTGTTTCTGTACCATAGTAGATTCTCAGTAAGTACTTGTTTAATATAGCAGACTTGTTATTGCTATCTTGATACTACTTATAAATATAAAATCTTGATGTTCTTTTTAGGCCTCTTCAGTACAGAATTCATTTATTCATTCAAGTATGTATTGGTTGCTTACAATTTGCATGTGGTTTCACATCTCCATCAAAATTCTAGCCCTAATCCTGAGGCAGGTAAAAGGCAAGTGTGACTCTAACGGCTTCACACTGTGAGCCCCTGATGCACGTCAATGCCAAGTCTAGATTCCTTTCTTCCTGGGTTTTGAATGGGGGTAAAAGGAAGGGGGTGAGTGCCACTACTGATGTCTATCAAAAGCCTGATCTCTGATACCACAAAGAAAACAATTGTAGACATTTGTCCATCTAAGATAGAACTATTTGCCAGCTCTTTGCATCAATGTCATTATATAGAAATGGGTAAGTATAGATTTAAGCTGCTGATTTCCCCCAAAAAACCTACTTCTTGTATTGCAAAGAATTTATTTTCCTCTATTGCTATATCGTTTCTTTATCCTGCCTCCTAAATGTATTTATATTTATTTATAAGTATTTCCCCCTCTGTCAACCCTTATTTTCACTAAATCACTAAATCCTATTCCCATTTGGTGCATCATTTTACCCAACACCTCTCTTTTTTTTCTGTCCCTATACTATTCTTGATTGAGTGTATCACTAATACACAGCTTGCACCCTCTCTAGCCCCCTACAACTCAGTGGTCTTCTTTCTATCATCTTGTCTATTTTAATTAGTCTACAACATTGTTACCAGATTGATCTTCTAAATCATTGCTCTGATCTTGCCTCTGATTAAGGATTCCATGACAAAATGCTGTTTCTCATGACAAACTGATTCATTTATTATAAAACCAGAACAATAACTCATTATATCTTTAGTTTCCCAGCATACCTTGAGCTAAAATCAATGCCCAGTTTCAAGAGATGTCCTTACATGAGATTTTCTGTTGAAATTGCCACACCCACTTTCATTGTGGCACTTCCTATTTTTGTCCTTGTTCAAGAATATGCTGTTAAATCTAAGATCTTTGTGAAATTTGGTAGGTTGACAAGAAGAAATAATATGATTGCAATTAAAATTTCTAAAAAACTTTGTCTTCTTCAGCAGATTTAATTTAAATGTAAAACGGAATTTATTAATGTATTAATTGGTTGATTGAGATAGGCCTCTCTGCATTGCCTAGGCTGATCTCAAACTCCCGGATTTCAGTGATCCTCCTGCCTCAGCGTCCTGAGTATTTGGGACTGCAGGCACCCACTACTGTGCCCAGAAGAATTTTCTTTTAAGGTAAACTATTTCCTTTTATTCTCAGAAAGCCTTTTAGCAGAACCGTGCCTCTGTGGACCTTAATGCAGCTTGGAAACATGAAGCTACATCTCCATAGATCTACATTTCTGCATTTTATAAAGTATCTATGGATCATACTGAGGTATGTGTTTGAATGGACATTCTCTTTTGGCTGTTTCAGGCCCACTCTCTCCTGACTTCTTTCAGTACTGACTCCTATAGACTTCATAACTGGGGCCCTTGCCTTTGGATTTGATTGGGTTCAGCAAAGGGGGTGTACAAGCAGGAGCTCAGATAGACAAGGATAAGAGAATCTGAGATTTTTGTTGCCTCATAAAAATAAGGTACTCCTTTGCAGATGGGTGTCTGTGCAGCAATGGCTGAGTTTTTATCCTCTGAGAGGTAAGCATCTCTTATACCTACTGTGTCTCATTGGGTTCATAATAGCATTCTCCACTTGCAGCGAGTATCTGGCTGCTCACTAATGTTACTATTTGCTATTGGCCTCTCTTAATCTGGCTAAGTAGTCTCATTATCAAACTAT